CGGCCGGGCTTGAAAGCCCAGCAAACTTTTCACCTTATTTCTATGCAGCGGTGTCAAAGGGGCTTCTGCTCAGAATGACAAACCAGCCCACAAATCACTTGGGAATCTTCTACACTCAATTTGCTCCAGCTCTGCCTGGCAAACAAGAGACAGGAGGCACATATACATTACTACTGATTAGTCCGTGTCTCCAGTATCAGCAGCCGTGCACACAGGCTGACCGTAACTTTAAATATTGATAACCAAACTCATATATCATAGGCCTGGGAGAGTGACAGTTTCAGTGCATAACAGCAAAGGCTTTCTACAATAATCAAATACTCAATAATTCATGAAAATATATCCCCCCAAATCAAATTGGAAGCTATTTTGTGTAATATATTATTTAAAATTCAATATTATAATGCACACAACTTCTGCTGCTACCACAGAGGACCATTTCAAAATGTGATTATGTGCGGACTCTATTTAAAAGTGACAATTTTGCTTTTCATTTGTTTAACAGCTTAAATGGAAGAGCTCAACTGGAACTAAGTCGTCTGACAATGAAACCAAAGCCGACACAAGCAACTTTGCAAACTTCATGACAACTGAAAAAAAAAGTATGAATCTTCCTCATTGGCAACACAGACGAATTCCCCACTCTGCTCACCTTTACTTCTTTTCTTAATGCTTAGTGAAAGGAAATATTCTGCAAAACTCTGGCGAACATTTTCAGTTCTAGTCTGTCACCCTGGGCTGGTCAAATAGTGAGAAAAAAAATACATTTACTTGCATTCCAGGGACTTTTGCATAGAAAACAACTTTGGCTTTGTATCTGTTTATTCCTGTTGGAAAACCCATTTGTGTAAGGGAAGGTTGGCTGGTGTAAAGTGCCAAGAGAAGAGGTTTTTGCCCTTGTAAACAGAACGCGCTGGAGCATAAAATACAATCAAGACTTGTGACAAAATTCATCCCAGGCAGACGTCACTCCTGAGTGGTGGCAGGGAGCAGGGTGAAATGGCAGCCTGTGATTGAGGGGACCAATCTCACCAAGTGATGGAGGAGGGAAGCTCAGCAGCGAGGAGCCCGGGCAGCTACGGCTGAAGAGACCTGACTCCAAGTGCATGGACCAGCTTTGAAGGATAAAACTACTCTGTGAAGAAGAAAAGCTCAGCCTGTTTATGAACTGTGTGCAAGTAGAGCCTGCAAGAGTTCAGTGTCAAACAGTTGCCAGCTCTTCAGTCAGTTTGAATGCCAATCTTTCCTTGTATGTCTACTGTAGATTAAATCTTTTTTGTTGTTGTTGTCTCACAAACAGTAGTTTCTAATGAAAGAGAAGTTGAAGGAATGCTCAACTCTCCCAAGTTATTAACCTGTAGGGAAAAAGATGCTGTCTTCAATTTTCTCTCCCCATCTTTTGCTTTTTTACTGACTCCTTTCCACAAATTTGGCCACCTTTGATATCTTTTTGCGCATTTTATGCCTTTTGCTCTGCAGACCCAAATCAGAACAAGGTCAAGCCTGAGTCCAAATATTGCCTCCTCCCCACAGCTGCAGTGGGGCAGCTGAGAAGGGCTGTGCCTCTCAGAGGTGACAAAAAAGCAAACTTGGCAAGGTCCTTTCACTGCTGCTTGGGAAAAGGGGCTGAAGTCCTAGGGCAAAGCTGGTGCCCATGAAGACACAACCTGCTGTTCCAGATGGTGTGTCTTGGTTCAGGCTCTACTACCATCCCTCAGTTTCTCAAAAATGTATAAGTTAATTTGCATCAGGATCTCAACTGAGGGCACTGCTTTCATGCACAGCACGAGTCAAACTGGTGTCCTAGGACCTGCCCTGTGAGACACTGCAGAAGTTTTAAGTGTTTGCTTGCACCAAGAATGCTTGTTTCTGCTTCCCTCTAGTTATCAATTTCCTATACTCCATGTGTCATTAGAAATCAAGGATTTTATATGCTTCAGCTTGGCCTTTTGTTTCTGTTCACACCTACCCTCATCAGAGGTTCTCAGTGTTGTACCATAGGTGCTGGCATCATGTTAATGCTCAGCAGCAAAAGAAAAATGCACAGAGGGGTCACAGCACTCAGGGGCTATTTTCAGAACAGGTAAACACACTTAATATGTTAAGATGAAAGATTAAGAGGTGACACCATGAGAGTGAATGAAGATTCATAATAGGAAAATATCAGGTATGAAAGAACTTCTTTGGCAGAGAAAAGCAAAACAAATAGTAGCTTGAACTTAAAACCTCAAATTCCCAACAAAAATAAGTCATTTTTAAAGATGATGTGAATCACCACTTGTTTCAGGAAAGAGGTGAGATATTCAGTATTCTGATCTCCCTGTGGATGCTTTGACAGCAGCAGAGACTTAATAGAGGGAAAGGCAAAGAGGAAATATCAAGAAAATACACTCCTGTAAAATGATTATTGCAAGTCGTAGTCATATTTTGGAAGTTAGAGTGGTTCACATGAACACGCAGGCAACGTGGTGGGGTTTTTTATGAATGAACTCCCAGATTCCCATGCTCTGACCAACAGCTGTCTCTGGGTTTGTCACATTAACTACTGGCTGAATTGGCTACAGTTTACAAATGACCCTGAAATATGGCAACAAACCCCTACCTCAGGGGCCATAACCACAAGCACATTTGATGCAACTGTTCATTGCAACAAGACTTTGCAGAGGCACATGTGTGGTTAGAAACAGGAGAAAGAGTGAACTTTCTTCAGAGTTCCTAGGACCTAGGAAATGGCAAAAGATAAATGTGAAAAGGAACTCATAATCTTGGTCTTTATAGCAAAATCCACAAAATGCAAACATAAGGAAAGGGCTGTAGACATGGCATCACACTTGCAACAGTCCTGTGCCAACCAAGCTGAAACAACTGGGAAGAGACAGTTGATTTGGGTATCAGTATCACCTCAGGTGATGCAGTCAGTGCAGGTCAGCCCTCTGAAGGGCTGGCCCCAAACCTGAAACAGGCTTCTCTTGGAGAAAACAGAATCTGCAGCAAAGTCACCATGTGGGATGCTGAAATTCTTCAGTGTGATATGGCACTTCAGTATATATGCAGGCATTCACACATGGCTGCATCTCACTTTTAAATGTCTCTCAAGAGTTGTATATTAAACAGAAGAAGGATTTTTCCAGGAACTAACACAGTTGGCAGCCTTTTGTCTCTATTTTTTAAAGTAATTTATGAAAGAAGAAAAGTAGCAGAGTCAATTTACAAAAGGCTGCAGTCTGGACTTTGATAGATGAACAGATCTACTAACAAAACCTCTCACTTTTCACTGAGCACTCCATCTTCTTATCTGTTAATCCTGGTGAGGAAACAATAAGGAAGGCAGGCAGCTGAATAGAGGAAAGACCTGGGTAATGTTTAAACCAGTGAATAATCAACCAAGAGATCAACCTCCCTGCTTTTTCCAGATCCGAGCAGATAATCAGCTAAACATTTCCTCTTCCATTTTGCTTCCCTTTCAGGAAGGGCTGAGTAAGATGACAGTGATTCACACTACAACCTGCTAAAAAAGTCCTGGGTAATTCCTTGAACAACAGCCTTATAGCTCTGAAGGAGTGGTCCCTCTTTGACAATCTAGGACATTGCACTGAGTAATAACAGTTCCAGCAGTGGTATCAAGGAGGTGAGAGCAAATAACAGCACTTTTCCCAGCTGGTTATGTAGACCTGCTCTCAGACAACACGTAGGTTTGCTTCTGAGGACATTATTTGAGTAGACTTACATCTGTGTTGATTCCTGATAAGAATATCTCAGCCATGAGCACACTGTAAACTAGAACTTCAAAGCAACAAAATTAATTAGGGAAAATGCCCTTTTACTTCCAGAAAAACTGAGGAAGCCTAGGCTGAAAATTTTGTGAATTTGAGGTAAAGGCTAGGATAGGTTAACATCTATTGGTACATGTGGAGAAGAACACGGTCCTTTCAATGTTACATATTCATCTGCCACTCTGGAAGTGATACCCACAGTCCCAGGTCCATCAGCAGTTCTTGTCTCTCTGCATCCTCAGTGGAGCTCCTCCCCACCACACAACTAGATATCCTCACACCAATCCCTCATGCGATATTTTTAAACACAGTTCTCATTTCTCTTCTAAGTTTAAAACGGGAAGTAACTTCCAAGCCTCAGCATTTTTTGTTCAGTGAATTTCTTGAGTTGTGACAAGTGCTATAGGAGGAAGCAACACTTCTGTGCTTCATCTGTTCCTGTCCCTCAAGTGCAGCCTTCCTCTCCTAAACTGAAATTTGTAACCCATTAGTCTTTAATGCAGAAAAAAAAACCTGTAGAGACTTGAAAGGGAACAGAAACCAAGTGAAAAAGGATAATTACATTCTCCTGACTTCAAGCAGATTTACTACAAGTTCTGCTGGAGTTCCTCACAAGCATTACTAGCACCAACAGACATATAACAAGCAAAACGAGTACGTATTTAATTGGAAAAAGAATCTGCTTGATAAGGGGCTCATGTATTTCTGTAGCAAAACCGTGGACATTCTCCTTGTCCAGTAAATCCATTATATCACCACACTAAGACAGAAGAACCTTATGCAAGACTGTGTGAAAACAGTTTTATGCAGAAAAGAGTTGCTTGAGCAAAACAAGCAGCGTGAACTGAGATTAGAAGAAAGCAATCACTCAAGTATCAAATGAGCACACTTCTGCTCTGCTGTCACTGTGACTGCTTCCTAAACTCAGATCTGCAGATCTCAATTTTTTTTTTCCCCCTAAAGCCCCAGCTCCTGGAGTCAAACGATGACACAAGAATCACCTGTCAAATCAAGCTTCACCCTCTCAGGGAGGAAAAGATTGAAAAAAAACCAATGACTAAGACTCAAAAATAAAAACCAGTCTATAAAATCATCGATATTTGAGCCTGCCCTAAAGAAATATTGCCTCCCTCCTGCTCTGAATTGTAGAGGCAAGTGAATGTCCAGAGCTGCTGCTCTGCTGCATTACAGCCTCCAGACACTCCTTGCTCCTTCCCCAAATCCTACCTGAGCTCTGGGATCTGCAGCACAGCTTTCCCTCTTCCTTGCTCTGCACTGCATCATGACACAGAGCTCCCTGCATTCCCTCCCCCGGCTCTGCACAACTCCTCTGCACTGCAGCAGCACCAGAAACCAGCATCACCAAAAACCCCTTTTTTTCCCCCCCTAGCTCTTTTCCCCCATCCTCTCCTACAACCGCATCCCCCAGGCAGGAGCATCACATCCTGCACTGCTCTGCCATCAGCCCTGCGATGCTGCAGCAGCTCTGGAGCCTCCTCCATCTCCCCCCTCTCAAGAGCTCAGCATTTTTTACTGCATCACTGCAGAAATCCTCCGGCTCTGCCACCTCCCTCCAGTGCTCTGTGGCACAGCCCAGCCCCACAGCATCAAACCTCCCCTTTTCCTCCCTGCTCTTCCCATTCGATACCAGGCTGCAACACCACTGAAACACCCCCTGTATTTTTTTTACTATCTTTTATGCTCTTACAAGAATTCCTCTCCTACCCCAATATACCCCTCTTCCTCAATCAGACCCTGCCAGACCCATAATAAGCTTTATCCTTCCCTCCACCACCTGAGCACGGCTTTATATTCTCTATATTTGTGCAGAAGTCTACATGCACAGCTCAGGGACAATATCAGAGCACACTTGGCAAGCACAGATTGTTTAGAGAGTCATCCTGGATTTACTAAAGGGAGGTCATGCCTAACAAACTTGATTAATTTCTTTGAGGAGGTGACAATGACAAGGGACAGGGTGAAGAAGTAAAGCATAATTCAATCGGACTTCAAGAGCCTTTTGATACAGTGCTACATAAAAGGCTAATTTATAAGGTTAATACGTATGGTATTGATAGTAAAATGCTTAGCCAAGTAAACTTTTTTTTAATTTGCCTGCAAAGAAAGTAGGAGGCAAAGAAAACAGTGGCTGATCACAGGAAGGGCAAAAGGAAATTATCACAGGAACTTCAGATATTTGAGCTCTCACACCACTGTCTTGCAGCCACTTTTCTTCCAGTACTTTCTAAGAAACTGGACATGATGCACTATAGAAGCTACTCATTTTGGTGACCAAACAGGCTACACATGGTGAAGGGTCAATATTACATATTATTGTACCTCTAAAAGACATCTAGCATAAAGAATTTATAATTGCACATTGCTCAGTGGTGCCAAATACAAGGTACCATGTGAGATGAAGTGGTGGTGCTACAAGCACATGAGGCTAGCCAGGTATTTAAACACAAAGCCAAGAAGGAAGGAAAAGCAAGGCTCAAAAGTCAGAATACAGCTCTAGGTCTACCAAGGCAATCATACCTTTTGTGTTGCATCACAGGAGACAGGTATCATGATCCCAACAGCAGAGCAGTTCACCATGTTCTTCTTGGACGTTAAAAAGATCATCTGACAGATGACCTTCAGATTCAGAAAATGCCACAGAAGAGGAAGATACCTTTCCCTTTTGACATGACTTAACCAGAGGTGGTTACCAGACCTCTGGAAGGTCCCCCCTGGAGCCCTGCACCGCCCTCCAGCTCCTTTGCCAATCAGGGACTGGACCTGGACACTGCTCCCCACTCCCAGCACACACACTGTTTCCCTTTTTTTTCCCCCAGAAAAAGCACATCTGTTTTCAGTAAATGCTGTAAATTACTTAATGTTTGTAAAGTGCTCTGATCGTGTGAAGTGCTATATAATTACTACATATTATCAATATAATTTGGCTAGATTGTGCCACAGCCGCCTCCTCTCTTCATTACAGCTCTGAGAGAGTTTTCTTAAACATCAGCTCTTTGGGGCAGGGACTTCGTGTGGCATCCGTCTCAAAACAATCTTGACCTTTCTTGAAGAGCCCCAGAAAATAAACAAACCACAGGACTGCAGCACATCGCTAGAGTCAGGCACCTACCCACTTTTTTATCAGGAAACAGACTGGTAAATGCCCCCCATTTACCCCCCTAAAAAGCACCTCCCCAGAGGAGGGGGAGGTGCTTTTTAGGATGTTATCACCTCCTAAAGTGCTTGCAGCCCACAATTTAATGGCCCAACGAACACTTAACAAATGCTAAAAGTATCTCAAGTCCTGAGAAAAGTATCAGCCTCTACTAGTGAGAGGTTCAGAACAAAAAGACCAGTAAAATCCTTAGTCTAGAATAACCCTTACCAGGAGTTGCCTATTAAGGCACCAGCAAATGTCTCTGCTCATCTGAATCTCCTGGAGCAAAGAAAACAAGAACAAACATGAACTGTTTTTCCTAACTGCCTGCTCCCTAGCATTTTCTTATAGGGATTCCTAAATTCTTAAGGTATTAAAATAGTAAAACTTATATAAAATGCTTTTTAGTTCCAGACTAAAACCTGAGAAAAAAGTTACTTAGCATAAGAACAATGAACTTAAAAATAGGCAACCTTTCTCTCCTTAAAAGATGCAGAAAGGACATCAACAACACCTTAAAATTTATCACTTGGTAGAAAACAAAACACTAAACCAAACAATAATTAACCAACACTAAAGCAAAAAGATCAGGCAAAGGACCAGCCACTCCCTGTCCCTCCAACACAAAGACTGCTGCTTCCCATCCCACCCCAATTTAAGGGGCTGCTGATGAGAAGAGGTCCCTGCTGGGAAAGGCTGCTCCCAATAAAAGCATGAACAGCAGGAGCAGTTGGTTTCCTTAGTGGGACCAGGGCTCGGCTGATGGTGGGTGAGGCTGATTCTTTGCAATTGAGCAAGGTAGAAATAGTTTTGCTTCCTAAAGGTAGTTCTTCTCTTCTGCTGGCTGTTTGTATGGGCTATTATTAGCTTTTTCTAGCAGAAGTCTCAGTAGTTGAGTTCTAGACAGATTATTGTTTGAAAACTAGGTTAGTAATTCTTGCAGTTTAGGGTATAAGCAATACTATATAGAAATACAATGCTAAGCTTTTATTAGCTGTTCTCTGTAGTCTTTTTCATAGCATTAATGTGGTATAAAGTTAGTCTTAAAGCACACCAAAATGTGTGGTTAGAAATGGAGCTTTGCCTCCTTTGCTATACTGAGCTGTCATGAACCAGGAGAAAAAAAATTAATTTTGTTTAAAGGTGTTTGCTACTTCTCTTTCTCACTCCTACAACAAATAATCTAACTTAAGGGGAAAATTCACCACAGATCTGTCAAATTGTTGAAGAAGTAGAATGGGGAAAATATTTGGGCTGTGACAAGATGTATTTAAAATTGCTAAAGTGAGGAAAAAAAATGTTCCTAGAATATCAGATCTTTTTAAAAGTGAAAACTATCAGACTATGAAAAAGGTGTGATTGGAAAGCTGGAAGACTTCTGGAATACATAAAATACTTTACAAAGCACTAAAAATGCTTGCTAACACTTCCTTAAGTCAGTGCTTCCTAGAAGTGTTATCGGAGAAAAATATTTTCTAACAGGTTCTGTCTTTGTATGTAATAGGAAACTGTCCTGCTTGATGACTCTACTGAAGAGAGGAGATAATTGTTTACAGGTAAGCACATACACACTGATATAACTCATCTCATGTTGCCTGGGAAGCCTGTGTTTGGAATGAAATGTCTGAACTGAGCCATTAAAAGTCATGGAGAAGTTTATTTATAATCTGTGGCTCGCATGCTGTGGATTTGTCTCAAGGGTTTTCTGTTTCAGAGGCTTTTTACCTTTGAACTTTCTGTTCTGAGAGCCTTCTCTGTGCTCTGGTGGGATGGATGGGAAGCCTGGACTTGCTCTTAATGTCAAAATGGTGTAAATCAGGCTCATAGCTGCTTCTTCTGATTAAACCTGCAGCTAATGACAGCCCAACATCAGAACACTCAGCAAATGTAAATATAATATTTATACAAATTCTCAGATGAGCATGAAAACATTCCAGTGTTTATGAAGCATATGCCACCCTAGGACTGGTAGGTCTGTGCTTCTTTCTGACATTGCCACAGATTCCTTGTGTAACCTGCATTTCTTCAGTTGTCTGTCCCTCTTTGTAGTGCCCAATGGGGAAACTGGAGGAGGGTTGGTGCTCTCACATCTTTCAGAGATAGACTAGGACACTGAAATATTTTTGGCATGGGTGTGATTATAAAGCAATCGAGGGGAGAAGATGGGCATATAAAACAGTGGATCAGATCATCTGCAAGTGCAAATGGTTTTAGCTCTGCTGAAGTCAATGGAGCAATGTCAATTTACAGCTTCTGAGGCTCTTGCTTAGTCTGCAGACCTGGGCCAGGAGTCGGGGCACTGGAGTTGAAACACCTGGCTTGGAAATCCCATGGGAATATGTTTCATTAGAAGGTCTTGCTTGTTAGGGCTGAGACTGAAGGGAGGATATCTCCTTGACCAGGTTGGTGGGAGAAAGAGTGGGATGAAGATTTTATTTAAAAGCAGGAGTGCTGGGCAGAGGCAGCCCTGTCTGAGGGGGTTTGTGCCAGCCCCCCCGTTCCTCATCTATTGTGTATCTTCCAGCATTGGCTGTCAACTGCTGCTTAAGGTTCTTCCCCTTTCAAATATATTCCTTGGCTCTCATCTTGCAAAGTGAGAGATTGCTTTAAGAAAAAAGAAAACAAGAAGTTCCAGTACTTAAGATTATAAATATATCCTATTAGGGTTTCTTTTTCTTTCCTTTACAGACAAAAGCATTTCTGCTTCCAAGCTTGATAGACCTCCTGACCCCACTGATGTGGGTGGATGGCTCTGCATGTTCTGAATCATTTGCTTCCTTTTCAAGTGTTACTTTCTCCTTATTTCAATTACCCTTCCTTTATAATTACATGGGCTGCTCCAGTGATCAGGAGAGCTCTGGAGCTGACAGACCGTCTAACAACAGGGCACGCTGGAGGCAAAATCTACATCCTTAGCTACCTTGGGCAGTAGGGAAGGTGTATGTTTAAATAGCCCAGGAGAAATTGTTGGAGGATATTCAGACCCAAGCACTTTGTAGCGGGTTCACTGGCCGGGCCTGCACCAGGCCGGACTGTGTGTAATTGCTCTCCCTGTCCCTTGGGGAGTTATAAACCAAATGTACAAGGACCACCTCCCTGAATGATTGCCTCTGT